GCAAAGATCTGGTAAGTATACAGATGATGGATGCAATAATAGGCAAAGGATAACCTTTAAAAGGAATCTCTGAGGCTGGGCGTGGTAGCTCAAGCCTGTAATCCCAGCACTTTGGGAGGCCGAGGCGAGAGGACTGTCTGAGCCCATGGGTTCGAGATCAGCCTAGGCAACATGGTGAGACCTCGTCTCTACAATAAATTAAAAAATTAGCCAGGCATGGTAGCGTGTGTCTGTAGTTCCGGGTACTTGGAAGGCCGAGGTGGAATGATTGATTACCTGAGCCCAGCAGGTCGATGCTGGGATGGCCACGAGCATGCTACTGCACTCCAGCCTGGGTGATGGAGTGAGACTCTAACTCAAAAAACACAATAAAATAAAGCAAAACGAATCTCTGAAAGTCTGAGAAAATCATTAGCTGTTTGTTATCCTGCTCTGAAGTACTCTAAAAGCCTACATTTCATGTGAATATGGACATAACTAAGTTGAAAGAAAGATGATCTTTGTTTTCACAAATCACTCAGCACCATCCAGCAGTCCTATGAACAACGGAGTGAAGGAATAAAAAGGAAAATGTAAAACTATTATTTCCCAAATCTATAAATATATTTCTCTAAATATTTCTCCTCAATAATGAAGATTGTAAGTTCTCTGAGGATGATGACATATAAAAGATACTTAATAGTTTGCTGGTAAAACGAACAAATGTTACAGTTAGAGTGCCCGTTTACTCCCACAGCAGTCTATATATAGGATTTCAAGGAAGCCTTAATGTAATAGTGATTGAGAGAATTCCCTGTTCCCCAGACAGACAGAGATTATAAAAATGGGGTTGATCTACCTCATTACTCTTGCTTTGAGGTAGTGTCAGGCTATCATTAATAACACTGTTCCTGTTAAGAACTTTACACTTCTTGTCCCCCCCCTTTACTGGGAGGACTGCTATGCTCTTCATCACCGTCTTCATCATTCTTATCCTCATCACTCTCACTTCCCTCATCTTCACCCTCCTTGGTGTCTCCATCACGTCCCTCTTTCTGAGATGCAGATCTCCCTCTTCTCTTCACTATAGTAGATGACCAATCATTGTCATCCTCATCCATGTCATTCAGCTCTCCCATGGATACAAAATCCAAAAGCGGTCAGTGTCTTCAAAAGTTCCACTTTTTCGGTTCACTGACCTGTTACTCTGCAGCAGTTGTGGTGGTGGGAACAGAAGAGGATGTATTAACAGCAGGAGGACTTGTGGCTTGTGTGGTAGTAGCTGCAGAAACAATCACATTATCAGATACTGTTGCTTTCTCTCTTTCCTTCTTTCTCCTTTTTCTTTCTAGGCCTTTCTCCATTCTCTTCTTCCTCTTTCTTTTCCATTTTAACTAATTGTTTTTCAGATGATATTATTTCTTCTGCTGCAGAATTCTTATTTTTTTGTCATAGTCACACTCTGCAGCCCAGGCTGGAGTGCAGTGCCATGCTCACAGCCACTGCAGCCTTGACCTGCTAGGCTCAGGTGATTCTTCCACTTCACCCTGCCAAGTAGCTGGAACCACAGATGCATACTACCACGCTCAGCTAATTCTTTGATTTATTATGGAGACGAGGTCTCACCAAGTTGTCCAGGCTGGTCTTGAACCTCTGAGTTCAAGCAATTCTCTTGCCTCCATCTCTCAAAGTGCTGGGATTACAGGTAAGAGCCACTGTGCCCAGCTTAGAATTTTTAAGAAGTTGTTCTTTTACTTTAGTATCTTCATTAAGTTCTTCCTCTAAAATTTTTTCTTCAACCTAACACCACACACAAAAATCAAATCTAAATGGATCAAAGACCTAAACATAAAACCTCAAACTATAAGAATCTTAGAAAATACAGGACACACCCTTATGGAAATGGGAACTGGCAACCAATTCCTGATCAAAACCCCAAGTACTCATGACATAAGATAGACAAGTGGGCCCTCATCAAACTGAAAAGCTTCTGCAAAGCCAAAGTAACCAGTGAAAGAGTGAGGAGACAGCCCACAGACTGGGAAAACATATTTGTCAACTGTGTATCTGACAAAGGCCTAACAATTAGCATCTACAAGGAACTCAAATGTGCCAAAAAGAAAAAAAATAAATAGCCCCATTACAAAGTGGGCAAAAGATATGAATAGACACTTCTCAAAAGAAGACATACGAGCAGCCAACAGATATATGAAAACATGCTCAGCCTCACTAGTCATCAAAGAAATGCGAATTAAGCCAGGCTCAGTGGCTCAGCCTGTAATCCCGCGCCTTTGGGAAGCTGAGTGGACTGCCTGAGCCCGCGGGTTCGAGACCCGCCTGGGCAACTTGGCGAGACCTCATCTCTACAATAAATCAAAAATCAGCCGGGTGTGGTAGCACACGCCTGTAGTTCCGGCTGCTTGGAAGGCTGAGGCGGAAGGATCGCCGGAGCCCAGCAGGTCGAGGCTGCGGTGGCTGGGAGCGGCCACTGCACTCCAGCCTGGGTGACAGAGTGAGACTCCAACTCAAAAAAAAAAAGAAATGCAAATTAAAACCACTGAGATACCACCTAACTCCAGTCAGAATGGCCATCATCAATAACTCAAAAAACAACAGATGCTGGAGAGGATGCAGCGCAGAGGGAACACTTCTACACTGTTGGTAGGAGTGTAAACTAGTACAGCCTCTGTGGAAAACAGTGTGGTGAACCCTAAAAGATCTAAAAATCGACCTCCCATACAACCCAGCAATCCTCCTGGGAATATACCCGGAGGAACACAAATCATTCTACAAAAAAGATACCTGCACATGTATGTTTACTGCAGCACTATTCACAACAGCAAAAACTTCGAACCAACAGTGCTGCCCATCGAAACTGAACTGGATAAGAAAAATGTGGTACATATACACAATGGAATATTATGAAGCCATAAAGAAAGACAAAATCGTGAACTTTGCAGAAACTAGAATGGGTTTAGAGTCTAGAATACTCAGTGATCTATCACAGAAAGAAAGAACAGAGTACCACATGCTCTCACACATAAGCAAACCCTGAACATTAACCATAAGACTATAAGAAAGGGATTGGCAGTAGCAAGATACTGCAGCAGTGGGGGGAGGGGCACAACATCAATAAGTACACCTGATCTCAAATCAGGCAACGTGGGGATGAAAGGGAGGCCCAAACTTTACCAGTATGATGACCTTTTGTATACCTAATCCTGAATGGTACCCCACATCTTTTAAATAAATAAATAGTTTAAAAGTTAAAAATAGAAAAAAATAAAATAAAAATATTTTCTTTAGAATCACTACAGGAACTTGCTTCACTGCCCTTTGGGATCTTCACTCTCACTTCCTTCAGAACCTGAGACATCTCTACTTTAAAATCACTGTCATCTGAATGATCATAATCAAGAGCATCCAGCAGAGAAGTTGCCAAAGGCTTCACCTGCCCCCTTTTGGAGCTGCGATCCATAAGGAATCTGCAAGATGGAATCTGCAAGATGGTCGTTTGGAAAAGACTTAGCAAGAAGCTGCAGGAGCCCAGACAGCGGTGAGGTTGGGGCCTGGGGCCACAGAGACAGGTCCCAAGGATGCTATTTAAATTGGCAGTGCCACTGATCAGACCAGGATGTGCCCAGGAGCCGCTCTGTGGTGTCCCCTACCCCCCACCCCCATCCACAACCGCCTGGCCTCTTGAGCCCCTTCTCGTACTTCCCCACTCCCTTCCAGCCCCCCAGCCCCAGCCGGAGGAGTCTTCCCGCCCAGGCAGTGTGGCCAACCTGGTAGCCCCTGGGGAGGTAATTTCTCCTGTTAAAACTAGGAGGAAAAAAATGAAAGAAAGAAAAACTTTATTAGCTTGCATTAGAAACAACAAAAGACCCAGAATTTGCACAGCCCAAGGCCAGCTGCCAAGACCCTCACTTTAAACAAACAAACAAACAACAACAACAAAAAGGGCAAAGGACCTGAACAGACATTTTTCAAAAGAAGACATACAAACGGCTAACAAGTATATAAAAAAAAGTTCGTCACTAATCATCAGGGAAATGCAAATTAAAATCACAACGAGTTACCACACCACAACTGTTAGAAAAGGAAATGCTTGTACACTGTTGATGGGAAGGTAAATTAGTACAGATGTTATGGAAAACATGGAGGTTCCTCAAGAAATTAAAAATGGAACTACCATATAATGAGTAATTCCACTACTAGGTATTCATCCAATGGAAATGAAATTAGTATGTGGAAGAGATGTAAGTACTCCCATGTATAATGCAGCATATTCTCAATAGCCAAGATATGAAATTAGCCTCAGTGTCCATCAATGGATAAATGGATAAAGAAAATGTGGTATACATACACAATGGAATACTATTCAGCCCTAAAAAAGGAAATCCTGTTATTTGTGACAACATGGATGAACCTGGCGGACATTATGCTAAATGAAATAAGCCAGGCAGGAAGACAAATAATGCACTTATATGAGGAATCTAAAAAAGTTGAACTCATAGAAGTAGAGATTAGAAAGATAGTTATTAGGACTGGGCAGAAGGTTGTGGGGAGTAGGAAGATATTAGTCAAATAACATAACATTCCAGTTATAGAGGAGGAATAAGTTCAAGAGATGTAATGTACAACATGGTGATATAGTTAATAACAATGTACTAAATACTTGAGATACTAAATACTTCGAAGTGTTCTCAACAAAGTATGTGAGGTAATGCATATATTAATTAGCTTGCTTTAGCCATTCCACAATGTATACATATTTCAAAACATCATGTTGTACAACATACATACAATTTTTATTTGCTAATTAAAAAATAAATGAAAAAAAATCTCTTTTAGATCTTCCATTTTCCTAGATTTTAAGATCAACTGAAAACTTTTTCCTGAGAGCCTATGGGAAATCCACTGAATAATGTATCTAGTGTCCTAAATTCAGCTGAACTTGTTTCTTTTAAAGAACCTATATATTCTTTTTAAAAAATTGAAAATGACTTAAAAAAAATCACCTCTCAACAATATTGAGGCAAGAGACACCATCCTGGCCACCCACAGCATAGAGAAAGCCTCCAAGTACTGCCACACCAACACTTGTCCTGCAGGTGCTCGTAGGGGCCACATCACTGCTCCACTGGTTTGTTTTGGGATCATACCTGCAAAGAACATGCCAAGAGCAAGTTTGTATTACACAGAGAAGCTTGGCTATACTTACACATTTCAGATCAAAGGATTTATATAAGATATATTCTCTCCCCTAAATATGGGCTGATTAATAATAAATAAAACACATGACAATCTAATATATGCTTTTACTTCTTGAAATTTATCTTTATTCAAGTTATAGATTAATATATTTTCTTTTCCAAAAAAGAGGAATGCTATTATTATTTTTTTGAGTTGGAATCTTACTCCGTCACCCAGGCTGGAGTGCAGTGGCATGCTCATGGCCACCCTAGTGTCGACCTGCTGCACTCAGGTGATCCCTCTGCCTCAACCTTCCAGAATGTTATTGATAAAGTCTCCTTTGAGTTTCACCTGAATTCTGGTCTCTTTTCATTTTATTTGGCATATAGCCTTCAAGACTTTTCAGTAAAATACTTTCAAATAGGTATATATATCTCCACATATGAACTTCTTTATATGCATGTTTTCTTTACAGAAACAATAGCACATAGTAGGCATTGCAGGCATTTCCCCCCATAGCATCTATTTATAGCTCTAGATTTTCTTTTGAACTGTTTTATTATGTTGTATGTGCTATAAATTATTTACTCCTATTCCTGTTAATGTAGCATTAGGCTGTTCCTCACATTTTGCTGTTAAAAACAGTGACTACCTTTGTGCATTTCTCCCTGGGCAAATGGACAGTAAGTAGACTCAATGGGGCAAAGACTATGTTTATTTTTAAATTTTTTTTAATTTTAAGATGTGGGATACAATTCGGGGTTAGGTATACAAACGTTGATTACGCAGGCACCCTTGTAATGAAGTGTGCCCCCCTCCCCCGGCAGTTTCCCGCTACTGCCAATCCC